GGATAGAGCGGCGGAGACGGCGAGGACGGAGCGCAGCCAAATTAACCGCCGGTTTTTGCCCCCGTCGACCCTCGCTCCGGGGTTGGCGCCCGAGCGTCGGCGCCGCCGCCTCCCCCGCGAGCAGCAGTGGTACCTCCCGGCGGCCGGCGGGCACCCGGGTCCAGGGGCCCCCTGCTCTCTGCCCGCGCCCGCGCCGCCGTGTTGCGCCCGGCCACAGAGTCCCCGCCGGGCGAGAGCGGCTCCACATCCGGGTACTGACAACCCCGAGGCCTCAGACGCAGCTTCTCCGAGTGACTAGGAGGGGGCTCCGTGGGCAATAATAACAGGATGCGGGAGATTCGGTGAGAAACGCGACTGGGGAAAGAAAGAATTTAAAAAAAAAAAAAAAAAAAAGATCCCTAAGCGTCTCTCCCAGAGCCCAACGGGAATGCGCATGTGCGTAGCCCGGAAAAGAGGGCGGATGGAGGCCCGGCTCCCGTGTGGGGCGACGGAGGGGCGTGTCCCTGGGTTTGTCTCGGACCGGTGGTGCGGCGCGCCCCATTGGCTGTGATGAAAGGGGCGGAGCAAGGGGCTCCACCCGACCGGCCTGGGCCGGAGGCTAGAGGAAGCAAAGCTTGGGCTGCAAGCCCGTCTGTATTGAACTCTGATGAGCTTTCGTTGAGTTCTGGTGAACCTAGTTTTAGCATTGAATTCATCCAGTGTGAATTTGGGATCCCATATTGTTTGGGCTTTTTTGTTAAGTGGGGCTGGGCAATAGGACAGATTAAGAGCGACCTGTATTTTCGTATGCTTTATTTGGAAACATTTTAATCCAGAGTGGGAAATTAATGTCTTGGATTAATGTAGAGGCAAGGTGGTAAATAGACCAAGCAGCACAACGGCTGCAAGAATGATTTCTGGCTGCAATTACTTAAAGGACACTGTGGTATATAGAGTTTAAAACCATTGTTTTCAAAGAGCAACGCAGATGTGTCATTAGTAGACACTGCTGGTGTTTCCAGAGGAGTCTGAAGGAGAGGGTTTACACCTTGGGCTATTAACCACAAGGTCAGCTGATTGAACCCACCTGGCCCCAACTATAGGGTCACTTAAGAATCAGAATTGATTTGAGGCATTTTGAGTTTTGAGTTGATGTTCTTTAAAGTCCAGGGAGAAGGAAATAGTTCAATAGAATCAAGTAATCTTGGGAAAAGGCTAAAAGAAGATGTAAAAATGATGCAATGAGTTCTAATGTAGTGAAATCAGTAAAATGTTCTTAATAAATAAAACGATCTACAAGACAACAAAGGGACACTGTTGGCATTGTTGGGTTAAGTGTAAGGCTGCTAGCCACAAGGTTGACCCTTTGCCCCCTTTCTGGGAAAGATATACAGCCTTAGAAACCATATACAGGATCACTATGAGTCAGACACGACTCTGGCAGTGGGTTTGTTATTTTATAGATTAAGGAGTCATCGTGACACTGTCCAGTAAGCTTTAAACTGCGAACCACAAATCCACTCACTGCTCTCCGAGACCGCCACCCACTTTTTGGGAGGAAGATGAGTCTACTGCTCCCATAAAGATTTACAGCCTCGGAAACCCCACAGACTCAATGTAATGACGGTGGAGGTTTTTTGGTGTTAGCTCAATAATAAGGAGCCCTGGTGGTGTAGTTAGAACACTCTACTGCAAAGGTTGGCAGTTCAGCAGTACGAGCCATGCCCCACAGCAGAAAAGTATGGCAGTCTACTTCTGTAAAGATGACAGGCTTGGAAGCCCCCTGTGGCAATTCTGCTCTGTAATAAAGGGTCTCTGTGAGTTGGGATCCACTCAATGAAAATGGGGGAGGAGGAGGACTGACAATATTTTGTATTGTGTTTTATATTTACTATGACAGTCTAATACTAAAATAAGTATTTTTAGTAAAATAATAAAAGCTTTGCTGACAAGTTGATTCCGACTCAGAGTACCAGAGATTAATTGCAATACTCTTGAATTTTATTTGTCCTTATGTGTTAGTCTGGGTATGTTAGAGAAACAAATCCACAGAAACTCATGTATAAGGAGAGCTTTATATAAAGGTTAAGTGCACATCAAGAAAACATCCAACCCAGTGTTGCCCAAGCCCACAAATCCAACATTAACCCATTAACTCATATGTCCAACACCAATCCACAAAGTCCTCCTCCATCTCACAAAGCACATGCAGTGATGCCAGATGCAGGAGGAAAGCCGAGTCAGTGAATGTATAAACATCTCAGCGCTGGCAGGGGTCTCCACATGGCTGCTCCAGCACCCAGGGCTGCATCAGGGTAGGTCCATGTGGCTTCTCTTCAAGGATGCCTTGCAGGAAGTGACCCTTGCCAGCTAAAGCAGGGAACTGGCTGAGGCAGCTGCACCCTGGTCTGACCACCGGAAAGCAAAAGACCCAGAACTAGAAAGGTGAGGCTCACCGAGCCATTTATCCCGCCGCCCTTCAATTAACCCCATGTTTATCGGCCAGGTTGGCACAATAAACTAACTACCTCACCTTAAATGATGACCTGCACTTCATTCCAAGGGAAGGGGATCATAAGAGGTGATGTCCTCTCCTCTTTTCCCCTTCCCTCCCCTCCACCAGTTTGTTCCTATCCTGTACATAGAGAACCACATATTTGGGGGGACGGAGTAAGGTTGGAGCCCACCTGTGGGCTTCCCTTTCCCTTACTTTTCATGGGCTCACACACAATAGAACCTCATCAAAATGTCTTGAATACAACTTAGCAAAAGTATGAAAAACTCAAATTAACCTGGTCTCCATGTTTGAGGTGAAGAAAATGGGAACTGATTAATTAACATGTCCAGGATTATAGAGGAAATTAAGAGGTAGAGCTAAGGCAATAACCCAGATAGTGCTATGTGTGATATTTCTCTATTAAACACTACCTGATCCATCCCTCTAATACACTGTGAACATGTGAAGCTATCATGTTGCTAAGAACCTTAAATTTAGTTTACTGACAGTCTCCAAATTACTTGAATCATACACTTTTTCAGTATAAAATTTGAATTTGTACTTCCATATATATTTTCCCCTGGGTCTTCCATATATTTTTATGTATAAACTATATATATTTAGTACCATGCTATGTGTTTTATGAAACACACTCAAAACAGAAATGATAAAAGGTTGATAAATTAAATATTTATATTTTCTCTCATAGCAATAGACTGTCTTCTGCATGCCTAGGCATTACACTGGTAGTTTCCGAAGCAGACCTGCTTCACTTTGGAGACCTGGATAATATAAATGTGTCTGTCGTACTTGGAACCTTGTCAGTTTGTACATGTGTTTGCTCATCTACCTATTTGTTAAGAAACATTAAGGGTAATTTAAAACTGGTAAGATTTTTTATTCCAACCACCCACCAGCATACTGCCATTGAGTCAATTCTGATTCATAGCAACCCTGTAGTATTCTATACTGTTCCATGGGGTTTCCAAAACTGCAAATCTTAAGGAAAACAGACAGCCTCATCTTTCTCCCAGAAAGTGGCTGGTGGGTTTGAATCAGCAAACTTGTGGCTAGCTACCCAATTTGTAATCCACTATAGCACTAGGACTCCCTTGTGCCCACTTAGGAAAATATAAATATCTCTGAGTATTTCACACAGAAGGAAATTCATACAGTGAATTGTTTGCAAAATTATTGGAAGAGCTGTAGAAGCAAAAAGATAAATAACTACTAGAAAGCAGTGCTCCCCAGATATAGAGAAGCAAAAGAGAAAATAGTATTACCTAGGGCTCATAACAACAAGCCATTGAAAGTAGAATAAGTGTTGTAAATATTGACGCTACTATTGTAGTGAGTCATGAACCCATATTCACACTGAAGCTGCAGAAAATCAGAAGCCCAAAGTCACCTACCATGGCCACTACTGTCAAATCAGAGCCCCTTGCGTGCAAGCCTAGCTTCATTAACTATAAAACTCAAAATTCACTACCATCAATTCAGTGCTGACCCATAAAGACCTCCCTGTGGGTTTCTAAGATTAACTATTTTCAGAAGTAAAAAGACCAATCTTTCTCCCGAGGAGCTACAGTAAATAATATTTATAACTCCCTCTTTCATCTAAGAACCCCAGACCAAGCTCATTGCCATCACGTCATTCTGAATCCTTATGGTTTGATTCTGCCTCGTGGTGACCTTATGGCAAATCTAGAGGGCAGGGTGGAACTGCTCATGGGATCGCCAAAGCTGTAATTTTGTGGAAATAGATTGCCACACCTTTCCCCAGTGCGCAACTGGCTGCTAAATTCAAACCACCAACCTTCAAGTTAACAGCCAGATGCTTAAACACTGCCCCACCATGGCTACATTTCCTTCCATTGTTATTGTTGTTAGGTGCCTCTCAGTCAATCCCAACTCATCGCAATCCTGTACACAACAGAATAAAACACTGTCTGGGCCTGGGCCTTCCTCACAATTGATGTATTTGAGCTCATTGTTATCCCCAGTGTGTCAATCCATCTTGGTGAGGGTCTTCCTAGTTTTTTGCTGATCTTTTTCTTTACCAAGCATGATGTCTTTTTCCAAGGACTGGTAGAAGGAAAGCACTACATGTGCCCTAGAGAATCTCAAGATTCCTAATTTGTCTTTTTTATCCAATTTTGTAGCAAAAATCCCATTT